CCCCCCCCCCAACAACCACACCAGCTCAGCACACGCCTCATGGACCAAGACCTCAAGGACGAGCTCCAGTATGATGATCCTTCCACCGTCGAGGAGTTGTTCCTCGAGAACAAGAATATCTCCTCCATCGCCTTGCTCACCACCCCCCCCCAAAAGGTGCGCCGTCACCGCGACGCAGACGACGACGACGACGACGACGAGGAGGAGTACGAATACTCGCCTCTCTACGAGTTTGTAAATCTTGTCCAGCTCAGCCTCAATTCCGTCAACTGCCACTCCCTCGACGGCTTCCCGCACCTGCCGCAACTAAGGAGGGTGAGTCTACGCTTCCAGAGGCTTATGGGGTTTGAGAAGACGCGCGTCGCGTCCCTGTCGCGTCGGGCGGAGATGTCTTGAGCGGGATCAACTTGGATGTTGTTTGGGTAGGGAATCGGCATTTGGCTCGCGCGTGATCCAAGCGCGGGGAATCGGTTCTGACTCGATAGTTATTCGGCCACGACGCGCCACCCTCTATACCTTGATTTATACATTGGCTAACGCCCCCTCTTTGAATTTGATTCCTCTTCCTCCTCCCCCTCCCCTTCCCTGATTCTTTACGCACTTGATCTTTCACACAACGCAGCTCACCCTTGCCGACAACAAGATTGCGAACGGCCTCGAGGCCCTTGCCAATGCCAACCTCCCTAACCTCAAACACCTCGATCTGAGCAATAACCGGATTGCCGACGTCTCCGTTCTCGCCCCACTGGTATGCGTTCTTCAATCGATTTGCTCTTAACCCTCGCACCGACCCATTCCACGCAATCTCATTAATTTCCCCACTCCCCACCCACCCGCCCACAGCGTAGCCTCCTCTCCCTTCGCCACCTCTCGACGGTCGCCAACGAGGTGACCAAGCTCCCGGACTATCGTGAGCGTGTCTTTTCGCTGCTCCCGAACCTAGCGACTCTGGACGCACACGACCGCGACGGCAACGACGTGGACTCAAACGACGAGAGCGAGGAGGACGAGAGTGAGGGGGAGGAGGACGAAGACGAGAGCGGCGAGGAGGAGGAGCAGCAACAGCGCGGGCGGGGGGGTGGCAAGACCAACGGCCACGGGCGCGTGCCGGCGAGGCCGGCAACGTACGAGGATGAGAGCGACGAAGATGTTGAGGAGATTGAGAAGGCTAGCGAGAGCGAAGATGATGCCGGGAGCGAGGAGGATGGTGGGAGTGAGGAGGAAGCGGAGGAGGAGGAGGGACAGGAGGTTCAGAGGTATGAGGTTCAGAGGCCGGCGCATGAAAGCGGGAGCGATTACGAGTCTGGGGAGGAGGAGGAGGAGGAGGAAGAGGAAGTCGTACCGTCGAGGGAGGTGCAGGATTGGAAGAGGCAGGCAGAGCCGGAGGAGGAGGATTTGGAGGAGAGCGATGGGGAGAGCGATGAGGAAGTGGAGGAAGAGGAACAGGAAGAGATCGGGCTAGATTATTTAGTCAAAGGGGTAAATACAATTGCATTTTCTTTGCTCGCAGCATTTGTTTTTTGTTCTTCAATCTGCGGATCACATGACCCAACTCTTCCCTACAGGATATCCCCTCGGGCGACTCGGACCAGGATGACGAGTTCGCGCCACCCTCGCATGACGACGATGACGAAGAGGACCTGGACGCCGAAGAGTTCGATGAGGACCGCGACGCCACCGCCGCCTCCGCCGCTGGATTCTCCACCGTCACGCTCACTCCGCCCGCCAAGCGGAAACGCGGCAACCATTCGCCGCATGCGAAGGCTGGCGGTGGCAAGCACGCGCCCGCACACGCGCACGTGCCGGTCGAAGTCGACGAGCTGGGCGGTGATTTTGCAGACGAACTGGGAGGGGAGGAGTATAGTGGGTTCTATCAAGGCGGCGAGGTGGGTTTGAGGGGGTGGGTGGGCAGAAATGGGGAAAAGAGGTGTTTTTGTGGACCTTTTTTATGTTGCACTGTTAACTGACGCTTCGTCTGCGCACATGTTTACCAGGGCGAGTTTGAGAGCGAGCCGCTGGGCGGCGGTGGCGACGACAACGATGAAGCTGAGGAGGAATATGACGGGAACGCGATACCAGGGTCAAAGAAGCCGCGGACTTGAGCGCGTCGGTGGTCATGGCCGTTTTGTTACATACTGGCAGGGTGGGAAGGGAGGGAGGGGGTGGGAAGGGAGGGAGGGGGTGGGAAGGGAGGGAGGGAAGGGAGGAAGGGGGTGGGGGGGTCGGTTGATTGGACAATGTCTCGAGTGGTGAGGGTTGAGAGATTGTGTGTGGGTATTGGTTGCTTGACCGGGATTCATCTCGGGTTTATTCCTATTATGCGCGAAGTGGGATGTTATGGCGTCATTTCTTATCTTTTTATTACTTTTGATTGTTGCGGGATGCCTTGACACAGGGTTGACACCCTACCGCCGCCATCCCTAGATCTTTCCTCGCGCACGACCGAAAAGCATCGCGTCCGTAACGGTCCTCGATGGATCGAATTTCTCCGTCTTGCTCTACGTCGTCTTTCTCTTTGCTATTTCATCCGGTCCTCCCCATCTTGCCATCTTCGCTTACATCTTCATGTAAATTTCATTCTTGCTTACTTTGACGCCGTTGCTTTACCCACCCTCGTCGGCCATCCGTGGGAGGGGGCGCCGACGCGCCTAAAATTTCTCTCGCGCAGTGTAATTTCATCCACTTTGCTTTCTCTCGGATGTTATTTTTGGGAGGTTTTTTCTTCTTGCTTTTGATTTACGGCATCGTGTCAACTGGGTAGAACGGAATTAAAGTGCCTTGGATATGATCCCATCAACGAAGGTCATGTTTCGGTTTGTTTGATAGGGTGGATATTGGTTGTGAGGGAAGCGAGGGATCTCGATTTTGATTATATTATATAGGAATTATGTAATTTTTTTTATTCAGGGATTTATAAAGATAATTATCATACCCAATATCAACAAATCCGCATTGGTCTAGTGGCTAGGATCACTCGCTCTCACCGAGTAGGCCGGGGTTCGATTCCCCGATGCGGAAATTTTGAGGATGAATTCTTTTCATTTCCAGCCTTTATTTCCCGTTTCTGCTTGCCTATTTTATTTTATTTTCCGTTGTCTGATGCACGGTGTGCGGGGGGTTGGCAGTGGTAGTAAGCAAGACGCATTACATTGCCTGCATGTACATATATACCTCGCCTGACGGGACAGGGCGTTGGCAGGCCCGACTGGCCTGCGCTGAGAGTGCTCTGGCCGAACTGCAACGCGATTGAGGCGAGCCTCGTGAGGGGGTCAGGGAGGCGTTCGCGGGGGACCGATGCACACTGAGAGGGAGGGTACGGGGATCGTCTATTGGGTTAGGGAAGGCTATACGGTGTTCGATAGGTGATGGGATGGGTTTGGGGCATAGGTTCGAATTCCGCTCAGAAGATAGGTTGGATGTCGCTTTTATTTTATTCTATATTGTGTTCATTTGGCGCATTCGTAATATCATTACAAACCCCGGTTCATAATAAATAAAATGGCCGGCGGATAAAAGGGCGTTGAACTGTTCACGTTTATCCATTGGTCGTAATTCGCAATAGACCTCGGTACGATTTACGTGCCTAGGATAAGCGTGAAAACTTGCCGACTATACATACGGGCTTGTGAATTTTCGCAATCATCTACTGGGCAGTGAATGAGCTTGAGGTATGTGCGGAGCGTGCGAGTACGGCAAATACAGAGTCATCAAGGTAATGGGCGAGTCGGGTCAGATGCGGTCCGACGTGGAGATCAAGCGGCCAAGGGTGGCGGAGGTAAAGAGTCTCAAGGGGCGGGTTGGTGGCAAGGCAGGCGGGGAAGATCGTCCAAAGGAGACCGCGGGGAAGATGGAGAGGGTGAGATGGCGAAGGTTGGGGCAGGAGACCAGGGAGGTGGCGAGAAGACGCAGTTTGCGTGCTTGAGGGTGACTGTTTGGAGGCCCGGACAGTGAGCACGATCGGTCCATGAGCTCAAAGTCCCTAACAACAAACTCTCGGAGATTTACGAGCGTGGAGAGGAGTTGCGCGAGCGGATCATCGGCCGCGCTGGTGGCCGTTTTGATGGACAAGGGGAATTGGCAGCGGCCGGTGAGGGTGGGATGGGTAAGAGTAGTGCGGAATCTGTGAGAAGTAGGGAACGATGGCCGCATAACAGTAATTCCAGGCTATGGGGTAGAAATCGAGTTTCAGGTTCATGCATCCGCGCAGAGATTGTAGCAGGTCGAGGATCGCGACGCTCTTTTGGCTTGTAGCAAGCATGTAATTGGGCGACCATTCCAGCTGATTAGGAAATTGTCGAGCGTCTTGAACATGTTGACCTCTGTGATAGAGTGTGTAATCTGAGAAAGGCCTTCCATATCAAGATCTTGAAAGAAATGGGAAAGCACATTGATGCCATGCTTAGGAGATGAAGGAACACAAAAGTAGGTCCAGCCAGGGTGTGGGGGACGTCTGCTTTATGATATCGAGAATGTCATGATGATTTCGTTGGTATATTTTACAGAGTGGGTAAGAATAATTACTCTCACGAGGAATTAGGCAACCTCATTGCACACAGTGACCGATCCCGACCGGCTAATCAGACTCCTCGACAACCTCTCATCCTTCAGTGTGAGACGGGTCTTGATTATGTAGAGAGTGTCGAAGAATACCAAATCGGCAATCCCTAATTCCTACGGAATGCTCCCTTCCCACCTTCAACGACTGTGAAGGTGTACAAGACAACTGTGAGGAGCCAAGTGGGTGGAGCTTGTCATGAAAGAACTGATATTGAGATTATTATAATTGCCTTCTGCATTCATACGTTTTTTTTTTTTTTTTTTTTTTTTTTCCAGTTGGGCATGGTCTTATTGTAGGGTTATCCGCTCTGCTAGTAGTCGGATTGTCGCAGCATCCGGCCACCGGATATTGTATGATGACAATGTTGTTGCTGATAAAGGCACATTGGAGCAGATGTAGCTTTCGGGTACAACAACTGGTGGCAGATCGTTGTAATGGCCTACACCCTAGCTTGCCGCCTGTCGTTATTCCATTGGACTCGGAGATTATATAGGCAGCACTAATTGACCTTGGAATGAGTCGTTCCGTACACTTCCAGTGTCGTATATGGCCGGCTTGATTATCTTCCACCAGAGGTCTTCAAAAACCAACCATAGCCATTGAATGTCTGACGTTTATTGTTTGCGACTCTGATATGGCAGATTGACAGATTGATGTATGCTTCTGTAAAGTGGGAGTGACGCGTCCCGGGAGGACCGAGAATTCAACAAAATGCAGCCCGAAAGACGACCATCAATGAATGAGGCTGAGGAGTATATGCTGAAGTGGAGGTATTCTATTATCTCAACTCGATATTCATCGCAAGACAGCGAGCTTCGTATCTCATCGCATGTCCCAGTTTCATTCGCAGGAGGAATCTTCAGAAAATTACCCAAGTTTCTCAACACTTGATGAATTTAACGTATATACAAGGTATGCTGTGCGTGGGATTGTGATGAGAGAAGGAAAAATGGGGAAGGAAATACAAGATGATGGTCTCTAATGTTGGAGTGGTCCTTACTTTACGTATATGTATCGCTCCATTATGTTTTTAATACGTACTTATTAAATTGTAAACGAATCCTTATTGCGGAGTTCCTCTGCAACTCATTAAGCCCGTCGTACCGACTCCGACGCTGACAACTCCATTCGACACCGATCAGCCACCTCTTGGGCAACTTCCTCTCATTGACGCCAATCGCATATCTCAAAGCATTTTTGGTATGACGTATCCCATTGACGCAGATTAGTGATGAGTGGATCTCAGGGCATCACGCGGATATTGGAGTTTGGATGAATTTGGGTATATATGCACGTACATAATGTCGTAATTTGTGGGATTATTTTTTTGGCTAGGCCTTAAATTTAGAGACCCTATTCATGAATGGCGTTCAAATCTAATTACAAAGTGGAAGTCAGGCCGAAACCCCACTCGTGGTCGAAGCACGCGGGCATGGGTGTCACACGGTCAGCCGTAATGGGCATTGGATCGTTGTATATAAGATGCAGCAGTGGGGCCATGTGGCCATTTCATGTGCTGTCTTGCAGATGTGATGTTGTCCACTGCACAACATCTGCGACATCTAGAACTCGGGCAGCACCAGGTTATAGTGTGACCAGCCACTTGGTGGTATAGCAGTGCAGATCATTAACTAGTGCAGACAGCAGTTCAGTAGAACTGATAGAGAGATGAGAAAGTTTAGTATGATAGAGATAATATATCTAAGTTACTTTTATTATTTAAAAGTTACACTAATATAATTATATAGTCTATATATTAGAATTAAATATAATATTATTAATAGTTATTAAATTAGTTAAAACTTAATATAGGTTTTATTATAATAATAGTATAAAATATTATAAAAACTAATATGTAGTTTAAATATTATACTTTATTATAAATTGAAGATAAATAAATATAGAATATTATTTAATATTTTTAATGTTTAATATTATTTATAATTATATATTTATAAGCTAGTACTTTTTCATTTATAGAGATATGTAATTATTATTTTTTTATTTTTTTTTTTATTTTTTTTAAAAAAATATATACTCTGGCCATCAAATTTATACTTGTTTATTTAGACAATTCAGTGATATCTACCAGCAGAACCATATTTGCATATCAATTATAGGTATATATTTTTTTCATTTCAACTGGCGATTCTAGACCATTAGATGTGACTTCTGACGATTATTTGTTTCATACGATCAATGTTTGCCCCCTTACAGCACAGGATGCTAAAAGAATGTGTTTGTCGTGCGGAAGAGGAGGTTTGCAGTGGTAGTAACCACGAAGGAAACATCGCGAACGGCGCAGACGCGACGCATTGCCTACATGTACATACGTATGTGTGTTCGTTGCGCAGTAGCAGTAGATGATTATGAAAATTCACAAGCCTGTACGCATAGTGAATGGAATTTTGACGAGATATCAAGTTTCTCACGCTTATCCTACGCACGTAAATCGCTGGGTATACGTGAACGTCACAGGAATGTCTTCGAGAGAACCTTATATTCAACGCCCTTTTATCTGTCGTCCATGTTATTTATTATGAACCGGGTTTTGTACATATTACAAATGCACCGAATGAACACAATATATAAAGGCGACACCCAAATCTATCTTTGCTTCTCTTCCTGAGCGGAATTCGAACCTATGTCCCAAACCCATGTGCACATTTCCCCATCACCTATTCATATCCAACACCGTATAGCCCTCCCTAACCCAATGGACGATCCCCGTACCCGCCCCCCCGGTGTGCATCGGCTCCCCCGCGAACGCTTCCTTGACCCCCTCATCTTCGGCGAACTTCTCTGGTATCGCACAAACAGTAATCGTACCCTTGCACGTCCTTACGACCTCCCTCACGAAGCTCGCTTCAATCGCTTTGCAGCTCGCCAGCTCGAGCACCTTCAGCGCAGGCCAGTCGGGCCTGCCAACGCCCCGCCCCGTCAGGCGAGCGCAGTGAACGAGGTTGAGGTGTGTGAGGCGCGGTGCGGAGCGTGCGAGAGCGGCAAGTACAGTGTCGTCAAGGTAATGGGCGCCCCAGAGAGTGAGTCGGGTCAGATGCCGTCCGACGTGGGGGATCAGGCGGCCAAGGAGGTCAGAGAAGTCGTCGGCGGGGGAGTTGAGGGTTTGGCGGAGGTAGAGAGTTTCGAGGGGTGGGTTGGTGGCGAGGAAGGTGGAAATGATCGGCACGAAGGAGCTCGGGTGGAAGATGGAAAGGGTGAGATGACGAAGGTTGGGGCAGGAGACCAGGGAAGTGGCGAGAAGCGGGATGGAGACGCAATTTACGTGCTTGAGGATGACTGTTTGAAGGCTCGGGCAGTGAGCCAGAGCGCGCACGATCGGGTCCGTGAGTTCAAAGTCCATAACGACAAACTCTTGGAGATTTACGAGCGTGGAGAGGAGTTGCGCGAGCGGATCATCGGCCGCGCTGGTGGCCGTTTTAATGGACAAGGTGAATTGGCA